CGACTATTGCAAACAGTAGCATTTTGCCTCATTCTGATTGGCTTGCTTCGTCTGACCGTAGCAAACCAATCAGCAGGCCGTATTTGCGAATTTTTGCAACGGTCAGTTTCAATCTGACCATTGCAAAAATTTCCAAATACAGCGCTATGATTGGTTTGCTACGGTTAGACGAAGCAAGCCAATCACAATGAAGCAAATGCTACGACTTCAGAACGATGTGATATAGTACTAGTGCAAAACCCGCAAATACAGGCAGTATTTCGGGCGGAAATTTGAGAAAAACCCGAATTTAATTATCCAAAATGAAATAAAAACTCGAACTTGTATCAATATGATTTAGTAAATTTTAAAAAAATTGCACCAAGTTTCAATGAAAAATTGAAAATAACGGCAATTAAAAATAGTCTAACGTTTTAGTTTTTAATAACTTTAAAAAAGGTACAACCTGGAAAAATATATCTCAGGGAAAATCTGACCGTAGCATATGCTACGGTTGCAACGGTCTGAATCCGCCCCTGCATTAGACGATGCCGTTAGACTATGGCATCTCGAGAGTTGCATGTGACTATCATGTGACTATATTAATCAACAAATATGATTTTGTCTGCAACTGGATAAAAAAACAACAGCAAAAGAAAGTAACATGAATTGAAATATTGCATGTTAATACCTGTTCAATAAATTGAATATATAAATTTTCTCTGACTTTGGATGTTCGTCTCATTAATACAGACACTTGCCATTGACTCCCTACACACTTCAAAAATCACAATTACATTCATGCGAAACATTTAAAAATATACTAACCTAGAAAATGGAATCCTTAGAGATCAACGCTAATCATACACGTGTCCATGAATTTAATACATGACTACAGTACCCGTACAGTATAAACAGCTCATACATTTTCACACGTTTAGCATATTAATACGTGCAGCACTGCACAAAAGTAAACAATAAGCACTAATACAGCAAACAGACAAGAAAAACTACCAGTAGACATACCTTTTTTTAAGATAACATTGATCTTTTTGTGGAAATCTAAAAATTGATCAAGTTGAAGACATTTGCTGAGTAAATTTAGAATATTTTGTTACATCCCTTCTATTTTTGTTGGGTAAGACTGCTGAACGTACTTTGGGCGCAGTTTCCATGGGTAATGAGGGACACGTAGGGGTAAAAGTTAATTCATAGGGATATTAGTTGATGCATATGGGTAACAGTTGATGTATTGGAGTAAAAGTTGATGCCTACGGATATTAGTTGATACAGAGGGATAATGTTGAATACAAAGGGGTAATATTGAATATATATGGATAATGTTGAATGCAATGGGATAATATTAAATACAAATGGTTATGTTGAATGCATAGGGATAATATTGAATACAAATGGATAATGGTGAATACAAAGTGATAATGTTGAGTACAAAGGGATAATGTTGAATGCAAAGGGATAATATTGAATGCAAAGGGTAATATTGAACACATATGGATAGTTTTGAATAAGAAGGGATAGTATTGAATGCAAATGAATAAAGTTGAATACTTAGGGATAATTTTGAATTTATAAGGGTAATAGTTGATGGAAGTGAATAATTATGGACACCAATGGATAATGATGAATATAAAGGAACAATGCCGAATGCAATGGGATTATGGTTGCCACAATGGTATAATAATGGATATAAAGGGATAACACCGTCTTCTTAAAGTGCTTCCAGTTTCAGAAGAAATTTTCGTTTCTGTGGGAATTTTCACTGAAAAGTTGTGGAAAAGTTCTGTTCATTTCTTCATTATGGAAACACTGCACTGTTTATTTACAAATGAAAATGTAATTTTGGAAAAGAAATGAAAAAGATAGCTGTAAGGCCATAAGTTTGATCGTCAAATCAAAATGAGTTATAACGCGTTTGAATTAGTTCCTGTGATAGATCGGGTGCAGTTGATGGGAGATAAACCCAGAACTACGGTAGGATTTTCATATTTTACATCATGCTACTATATGTCAGTATGTGCCGTCAAAAATACCAGCTCTGCGGGAATTCAGTTGTTTTTATACTTATAAATATGTACTTTCAATATTTAAGTAACATTGGTCCCAGAGAATTGGACACATGTTGAAGATTTGGCCAGTATGTGTTATTGATATCACATACATGATGGCAGATGATACATGAAATCCAGGCTCAAAAGCCAAGGTGACAGAAGGGTGTATCAATGTATAGTTAGCTGTCCTCAAACTTTGTCTCATCTCATGCATTCACTTTGTGAAATCATGCAAATTTGAGGATCAAGGTGAGCAGCCACCTTAATGGGAGACTGAGCAGATCACAGATAATCCGGTTAGCAGAGTAGGGCACAAGTTAATGGATTAACCCATTAGGTGGCACCATAATGCAACCTACTTTATTATTTTACTCTTTCTAATGCCAGATGATTTTACTTACCAAGGGGAGAGTGTGGTACTCAAGTGACTTGATGGGTTAATTAGCTTAATTAAATTAAAAGGCAAAAAAGTACCATTATTTCAATTTGTTGTTTACCAAATTATTTCCAGGTTCAATGCTTAGACTGTGCTGCTCAGAATTTGTTTGTTGGTACAGGGGATTGGTAAGAACAGAATCAATATTTCTCAGTGATTCTAGTAGTCAATTCACTCTCATAAAAAATGCTTGCATGGTTATATACCTTTGTTCCATTCTATGCTAATTAGTAGTACAGTACATTATGAGAACACTCAGAACAGTGGTAATTATAGGCATGTGCATTATCTGAAAATGTGTATTTGGTCACAAACGTGAATTCTAGCTGATTATGAAATCAAGAATTTCAATAACTTCATTTTACGTACTCTACAAGGCTGTTTCCTTTCTAGTCTGATAATCCATTATATTGTTGCTGATGACGTTTCACCTTCTGGTAAAGCTGTGTTTCAGTACAGCCTCCAGGGATACAAACAGCTGGGACTGGTAAACTCATTTTTTAATAAGTTGGTCTAATGGAAACAGAATAAAATATTTCAAGCACAGGGCTTTAATTGGTCGGGTTGGTAGAGCTAGCAAATGACCTCTGCTTGAGATGTCGATGGCTTTGTAATCTTTTCAGGTAGTTCAGACACAAATCACGACAGCTTATTGTAGAATACTACCCACACTGGACCACCACATTTGACATATCTTTTTCAGGTAGTTTAGACACAAACCATGACAGCTTATTGTAGAATACTACCTACACTGGACCACCACGTTTGAGATATCTTTTTCAAGTTGTTCATACACAAACCACGACATCTTATTGTAGAATACTACCCACACTGGACCACCACGTTTGAGATATCTTTTTCAGGTAGTTCAGACACAAACCACGACAGCTTATTGTAGAATACTACCCACACTGGACCACCATGTTTGAGGCCCCCAAAATTCATACAGTTTAAAATATTGCTTGGATCATATTGGGCAGCATCATTGTAAATATGCAATTTGATTTTCTATTTTAGAAAAAGCCAGTTCAGCAATTACTCACGGCTGCCGCGATCAATAGATTGATTGTGCTATGCGATGGTATATGAATATTAAAAATACGTACTGTACGTGATATATTGAACTGACCAATCATTGTTAATATACTGATTACTTTTCAGGAGTGTTGCTCCTTCTCAGTATGATGGGCTTGGAGGTATCCAAAAAACAAATTATAAATATATTTTTGTTTCTAATTTTTTTTATATATTAAAACATGGATGTACCTTGTATATATTTGTCACCACACAAAATTTCCTTCAGAAAAAAATAAAGGAATAATTACATTATACTAACTCATTAAGCAGCAATTAATGTGCCTCACTTTATTGTTTGACTCTGTCTAACACCAGATGATTTTACTCGCCAAGGGGAGAGTGCTGACACTCAATGGATTAAATAACTAATTAAGAATTGTAACAACGAAAGTTTAAGAAGAAATGTAAGAAAGCAACAGAGTTCTCATTTATGGCTATTCCATGTAATCCCTTCTTAGTATGATGGGCTTGGAGGTATCCAAAAAAAACAAATTATAAATTAGTATTAATGCTGAAATTCTATTTTTCTGTTTCTAAAATTTTATATATTATAACATGGATGTACCTTGTGTATGTATGTACAAAATTTCCTTCGGAAAAAATAAAGGAATAATTACATTATACTAACTGTAGCAATGTGCCCTGATGTACCTTACTTTATTGTTTCACTGTCTAATACCGGACGATTTTACTAATCAAGGAAAGAGTCAGCGCGGACACTCAATGGGTTTAAAAACTAATTAAGAATTGTAACAACAAAAGTTTAAGAAGAAATGTAAGAAAGTAACAAATTTCTCATTTATCGCTATTCCATGTAATCTTTTAATTCCTCTTGTATAGATGGTAATTTCTGGATTTAAAGACAAGCTGAAAGGGGTAATGATGTACTTTACTTACTTGAACTTTATAAGTACAGCAGAGTGACTCTTAATGAATATATTTCCACGTTTTTACAGGCAACTTGCGTAGCTCGCAATGATAATCCTGCGTCGTTTGATCCGTTTTCCGTCGAGGTAAACTTCTTCACCACTTTTCAATTCGAAACGTAGACACGTTGGCCAGATTTATCTTAATGGACGGATGATGCATCTGGGCGAACTTGGGCAATGAAAAGATAGTTCGTCGTTGTATCAAACGCAGTAAATGGACGGGTCATCCGTCAAGACGATGCATCTTTGTAACTTTTTTTGATAACAGAACATAAGGCCCTTATTAAGTCCCACCAAAACAATACAAAGATTACGTTATACATACAAAACCACAGAAAAATTACAATTTGTAATCTAATTGGAACAATTAACTAGTTGGCTTACTGAGGTGTAAATTCAAATTAAGATCATCGATTACCAAAAATTATCTACTAATTTATATAATTAAATCAAGAAAAAAGCGGATTTTTAAATCAAGAAATCTTACTACGCCTTACAAATAATTTATCCATCGAGCATAAGTGACAACCTTGTAGCAACTTGATGAAATAACAGCATTGTTACAACTTGTTGACAAGCTTGCTACAAGCCTGTTGCGAACACATCTTGTTGACAAGTTGTGAGATTTTTACGTGTGATTGAACGATGTGCAAAGCATTCTTGTGTCTTGTGACAGGTATGTGTTGGTACAAGAAAGAAAGTGATTCATATTGTGATGATCACAGAAGATAATGTGTATCCCAAAAGAGAAATATCGCTTGCTGAATCACCTGTGCATTTGGTAAGGATTTTTTTCAAATTGACAATCTGTTCGGCACCTCTGTTTTTAAAGCTACTGGAATATTTTGTTTCAGAATTTTGATGGGAGTACAGTATGTGTGGCATTGTCAAGTGTTTATTGTAACGTGGATGTCCCGTCAGGAAAGGTGAGTGATAGCAGATGAAACTGGAACGACAGTTAATAGGGTAATGGCAGATGATCGAACAGACCCCTTTTTTTTACTCGTGTTTTTAGATACAAGAGCTGATCAGTTATGAACCACAGAATACCAGACCAATTATCACAAGAATTGCTGTGGTGAGTTGCAAGAGCACAGTTGATCAAGGATTGTCTTTGAATCTAGCTTGCATTTCTAACTACAGTGACTGGATGACATGGAGAACAGTGGGATTTTCAAAACAATGAAAAGACAATGGAATATTCTGATCACTGGATCATGACTGGATGGTATGGAGAACAGTGGGATTTTCAAGACAATGAAAAGACAATGGAACATTCTGATCTCTGGATCATGACTGGATGGCATGGAGAACAGTGGGATTTTCAAAACAATGAAAAGACAATGGAACATTCTGATCTCTGGATCATGACTGGATGGTATGGAGAATAGTGGGATTTTCAAAGCAATGAAAAGACAATGGAACATTCTGATCACTGGATCATGACTGGATGACATGAAGAACAGTGGGATTTTCAAAACAATGAAAAGACAACGAAACATT